GACTTCTCTTTTCAGATCTACCTGCCTGCAGAGAGGGTACATTCTAGTCTGCTCTCTCAGCCATGCAATAAAATTAGCAGGGCAGGCTCTGCTTTTGTGGGGGGAGGCCTGTGGTTGTCCAGAGCAACCTGTGATTAGGCAGGTAAGTTTGATTTTGGGGGTGCAGTATTAGGAAGCCCATTTTGCTGTTTGCTTTAGTCATGTTAAATGCCTTATTGAAAATAAAGATACGTTAATTTCCTGTTGTCAGCTCCCCTGTTTTTTGTTTGTTTGTTTTTTTGTTTTTCATCTAGTTCTGAACTTGCTTAGGGAATAGTGATGTGTAATGTACTGATGGGATAATATCCCAATATTAGTGGTGTAAATATGAAGCAGTATTTACTTTGAGAAGATGAAGGAGGGGCATTTGGGTTCATGTTAGAAAGCTGAATTCTTGGGCGCCTGGGTGGCTCAGTTGATTAAGCGACTGCCTTCGGCTCAGGTCGTGATCCTGGAGTCCCAGGATCGAGTCCCACATTGGGCTCCCCACTCAGTGGGGAGTCTGCTTCTCCCTCTGACCCTCTTCCCCTCTCATGCTCTCTCTCACTCTCTCTCTCTCAAATAAATAAAATCTTTAAAAAAAAAAAAGAAAGAAAGCTGAATTCTTATCTATCATAAAGGGGATGAGTTGATGAAGTCTGGAATAGATAAATCAAGAAATAACAAAGTAAGTCATGGAGATAAAAAGCACAGCATTGGGAATATAATCAATAATATTGTAATAACTTTGCACGATGACAGATGGTAACTACACTTATCTTGGTGATTTGTAATGTATATAATTGTCTAATCACTGTGTTGTACACCTGAAACTAATATTTTATGAATATATATACTTCAATTAAAAAAAAAAAAGACGGGAAACTACCGGCCCACCCCCCGCCAAAAAAAAAAAAAAAAAAAAAGAAAGAAAGAAAGCAAAAAAGAAATAATATACTAATTAAAAATAGGGAGGGAATTATCAGAAAAAAATGAAGTTGCTTCCAGATTGCTGGATTGGCAGAGTAGATAGAAATGAGTCGTGGAGTTGTTTCATCATAAACACGTTAAGCACTATTTGACTTTTAGCCATGTGCAGTGTATTTTCTTTAAAAAAATTAAATGAAAAAACGAAGGTAAACTGGTACCCTGTTCTTCAGAGTCAGTTTAGAAGTGTTCTATCAGCTCGGTTGAGAATAGTATGGCATTGACATTTAGAGACTTTTGTTGTCATTCATAGGCTAAGTGATTCTATGGTGGGAAAAATTTATGACAGTGGTGATTCAGTTTACTGGAATGCTTGATTACTTAAAAATGTTTATGTGTTATCAAAGTTATGAGATTTTTCTCTGAGCCAATTGCTATATCAGAAAGTGCTGGTTTGAAAAATCATAACCAACAAAACATGCCTTTTCCCTTTCCCAAAATGTAAGAAAGAGATGGCAAAAAGATATCCTGACTATGAAAATGACTCTGCTTTGGAAATTGGGCATGCTTTGATGGCTGTAAAAGCTATCAGGTGTTCACATCAGATTTGGTGCTTGGTTTAATATCTTTGGTCATTTCTGGGAATGAAACATCCATGTTTAATGAGTTGACTCTATGTTCACTCTTGGATAAATATTCCGATTGCATTTGAAGAGTGTTTGATAATTATATTTTCAGATCTTTCACATTCTTATGTGTTGTTCTTAATGTGTTCAAGATTTAGAGAAAGGAATGTAAAAGTCTCCTAGTAGCTTTCTGTTTTCATTCCCCCCTTGTATAACATTTTTTGCACTAAGAATGCTGAATCTATGTTTGTGGCAGAGTTTGTCGACTAATTACATTTTAGTTGTGAGTTCTATCTTTTATTGGTTCAAAATGTCCCTTTGGTATATCTTCATGGTTTTGTCTTAAATTTTACCTTAATTGATAGTGTTATCATACTTTCTTTATATTTAAGTTTGCCTAATAGAAGTTTTGTCCAACTTTCAGAGTCATTTTGTTTTAAGCATGAGCTTTATGAATAGCATATGATTACATATTATTTCATGGCCCAATCTAAGTTTTTTCTTCTTTTGGAAAAAATTTTTTAAAAAGATTATGGGAAGGGGAGTCTAGGTGGCTTAGATGGTTAAGCGTCTGCCTTCCACTCAGGTCATGATCTCCAGGTCCTGGGATTGAGCCCGGTGTCCTGTTGAGATCCCAGCTCAGCAGGGAGTCTCCTTGTCCCTCTCCCTCTGCCTCTCCCCCTTGTGCTCTCTCTCTCTGTCTCTCAAATGAATAAATAAAATCTTTAAAAAAATAAAAAGATTATGGGAAGATCACATTTTCATTGCTAAAAATTCAAAAATATTGTGGAGAACAAAAAATAAAGGTCCCCTGCTGATACCCTATTAATTTCCCCTTTTTTGAAACTCATTTTCTAGGGGTAACTATTGTTAACACTATGTTTTATATCTGTCCAGTTCTCTTTCTGGGCATTTGCAAGTGGATATACTCCCCACCACCCCATTAGACTTTGGGATGAGACTTTAAATAATGTTCTGAAATGTTTTTACTCAATAGCACAGTGCAGAGATCCTTCATGTCATTTTATGGAAATTTACTTCATTCCATTATAGATACACTCTTGACTTAACCACATTGCAGAAGTTTATATTGTCTGTAGTTGGTTGGTTGGTTGACTTTACCAGCACTGAACACTCTTCTACATTTAATCTCATCCACTTTTAAAAAAATAATATTTTATTTATTTATTTGAGAGGGAGGGAGAGAGAGAGCATGAGTTGGGGGAAGGGCCAGAGGGAGAAGTAGACCCCCCACTGAGCAAGGAGCCTGACATGGGGCTTGATCCCAGGACTTTGGGATCATGACCTGAGCTGAAGGCAGATGCTTAACCAACTGAGCCACCCAGGCACCCCTAATCTCAGGATAGATTTCCTGGAATAGATTTTTAAATTAAGGGATATATACATTTAAAATTTGATAGAAACTGTCAATTTACTTTTCAACAAGATGGTAATAATTTATCTTTTTGTGTTTTATTTTAAAATTTTGTCTTTTTGTGTTGTATTACTATGTCAACAACATTCATGTACAAGGGTAGCAAATGCTTGGTGTATGTACCTATACTTATATACTGATGGAATGAAACACCAAACATTTTCTATAGTGGTAAAATAGGATAGGTTGGATCCTGTCCTTTTTGGTCTCTACCAAAAGCTGGACTCTGGAGACTTTGAGCAGGCTGACAATATACACACACACACACACAGTTTTTTATTTAAAGTCAATTTAGTTAACATATAGTGTAATATTAGATTCAAGCTTTATGTATTTATTCAACATTTATTTAGGGGAGGAGCTAAACGTTAAGTGGGAAAAGAAATGGAAAAAGAGAACTCTTCAGCTCCTTTTTTATTATCCTAGGTAGTTCAGCTATGGCTCCAAAGTCATATCCTGAAATCAGTAAGCAAGAAGTCCTAAAGTTGACTTCATCTACCCTCCTTCACTTGTGGTTGGTGGTGGTGGTGGAGGCTGGGTAGTGTTGGAGGAGGATGGTCTTACTTTACCCCACTCAAGCAATTTATCAGGGTATTCCTCCCAGTTTGGTCCTACCCATTCCACGAGTAGACAGTGCCAGTCAGAACACCCTTTTCTACTAAGAACTAAGAAATTCTGTTCCCTAAAGTGAGTCTGCCAGATATTAACACATTTCATCTTATTACTTATTTCTTATTTAATGCTTCAATCATCCACTGTAACTTATTGAAACAAAAGTCTCATTTTAGCTGAATAGAGAAGCTATTGGTAAATATCTCCTCTAAAGCTCATACATATATGAAAAAGTATCTTGGAAATTTTTATTCAGAGACATGGGTGGGTGGAGGACAGGTGAGGAGTGACTTACTACTTCTGTACTTTAAAAATTCCTAATCACATGAATATATTTCTTATTTAAAAATTAACTGAGTTATTGGAGAATTTGGGGATCCTCTGACTTTGCAATAATGTTGAAACCCAAGTATTTTTAGAATAATAAAAAAGGTATCTATTGATATTGCATTATTCTCTAATTATTCTTTATTTCATTAGAGCATTTAAACATTCTGATTTTGTGTAGTTGGTTGCTTAATAAAATTTTAAAATAGCATTCCATAACCTTTAGGAAAAGTTAGTCTTTTTTTCTAACTTATCCCTAAGGAACAGTTTTTCGTAAGTTTTTTTCTGGAAAACTGGAAAATTTCTAATAAGTTTTTAGCTGATTCCTTTAGGTCTGTAATATTTTCCTCATGTAATGATACTTTTTATATCTCTTTCAATATTTAGGACTCATTTGTGTTTCATATCTCAGAATTTCTAGGACTACATAAGATAATGACTTATTTTCAATAGTGCTTTTAACAGAAATGCCTCTATTAATTCATCATTAATCATGATACTAGAAGGATAGGTTTTATCTTATCAACAAAGTAAACTTTTATTCTTATTTTGGAAGAACTTTAAAAATTAAATTGAGTTTTAAATTTTATGGAATACTGTTTTGATATCTTGTAATAATGACAATTTATGTGAGGTATTATAGTAATAGATTTCCTATCATTGACCTTTCTTATAATAGTGTTATCAACTCTATCTGGTTACTTTTGATTTGAAAAAGTCTGTGAATATTTTACTTAGGGTTTTCACATCTGTATTTGAATGGAAGGATAGATTATAATTTTATCATTGTTTTTGGCTTTTGTGTCATCCTTGTCTTTTTTGATAGTTCTATGTTAATTTCACTTATTTTTCTACATTTTCAATGCCATCCCAATCAAAATACCAATGGCATTTTTCAAAGTGCTGGTACATTTTCATATATATAATATGTCAGTAATTCCTTGGAAGTTTAAAGTAATTCAGCATGAAATAATCTGTGCCTAGCTCTTTTCTTCTGGGCACTTGATGAATGTGTTCAAATTTTCCTTACTCATTATTTCATTTTCTTTTTTCAGATTTGTAGAAACTTCCAATGTGTAAATGCTTCTGTTCTGAATTATGACTGTGATATTCAGAAAAAGTGTCATGGACATGGGGTAGGTAATATTCTCTTTGGGTTTGTTCATGAAAGTAGCATTGAATCATGAGAATTCCCAATGAGGGAATGAGGGTTAGGTGAGACTTTCCCAGATTTTTAGTTACGGGGGAATTTAGATATCTGACAAATTTTTCATTCTTTAAAAGAGTTACTGTGGATTTGCATGAATTTAGTCCTTTTTCTTGGTTTCTGTTCTTGAGTTTATGATGCAGAGCATTATTCACAATTAACCAAAGTGGTTTTCTGATTGTTTTGAAGGTATGTAATAGCAATAAGAATTGTCACTGTGAAAATGGCTGGGCTCCCCCAAATTGTGAGACTAAAGGCTATGGAGGAAGTGTGGACAGTGGACCTACATACAATGGCAAGTAATATAGAAGAAAATTAGTTGATCACCCAGTGGCCGGTGTCAGAAATTGGGCATCCTTGTACTTCTCCCTCACTTCCCACATTGGTTATATACTAAATATGTTGATTCTGCCTCCTAAATTTCCCATGAAGTTTCTATTTTTTTAATCCCTATTAATTACCTTCAATTTCTTGCCCAGATTTACATAAAAGCCTCTTGACTAGGCTCCCTCTTTCTCATCTTGCTTCCTATAATCCATGTTCCATACTACAATACAGAATTTTAGTGTTTCTCTTCAGGAATTGTTTTAATTATGTCACTGTCCTGCTTCTACATTGCTATTAGGATGAGGTCCAGAAATCCTTAACGTGGTTTAAATACCCTCTATGATTTGCCCCTAGCTTAACTTTCCAGCCTCTTTTCACTATGCTTAAGACATTGTAACTTCTTGGGGTGCCTGTGTGGCTCCGTTGGTTGGGGGTCTGGCTCTTGATTTTGGCTCAAATTATGATCTCAGGGTTGTGGGATTGAGCCCCGAACCCGGTTCTGGGCTCAGCAGGGAGTCTGCTTAAGATTCTCTCTCTCCCTCTCCCTCTGCCCTTTCTCCTGTATGTGTGCATGGGCGCATGCTCACTCTCAATTAAATAAATCTTAAAAAAAAAAAAGGACATTGTAACTTCTTTTATTTCCTCTAATAGGCTACTACTCTCTTACCTCTGGTCTTCATACAGTATTATATTCACATTGTGGAAATTTGGCTAATGGCTACTCAGATTTCAGTTTATACCTTATTTTCTCGAAAGTTTTCCCTGACTGCCTAAATCTGAATTAATATGCCTCTTCTATTTGTTCTCCTTTTATTGTAAGCACTATCGCATACTATAGTAATTACTTATTTACTTATTTTTTTTCCCTAATAGACTATGAATGAGCTCCTTGTTCGCCAGGATCTTCCTAGTGAGAATATATGCTTGCTTTCTCTTGGGTAAATACTAAGAATGGTTGGCTCATAGAGTATGTTTATGGTTCACATTTTAAGAAACTACCCAACTGTTTCCAAAGTGGTTGTACCACTTTATATTCTCTCCAGCTGTATTTGAGGGTTCTAATTTTTCCACATCCTCCCCAACACTTGGTATGGTCAGTCTTTTTAATTTTAGCCATTCTAGCAGATGAATGGTATTTCTCTAATTCCTAATGATGTTGAGCATTTTTTTGTGTGCTTATTTGCCATCCACATATCTTAGGTTATGTGTCTGTTCAAATCATTTTGTCCAGTTTTTAGATAGGTTGTCTTCTTGAGTTCTTTATTCTTTATTCAAGTTCTTTATGACATATGTGCTTTGTAAATATTTTCTCCCAGTCTGCTTACTTTGAGTTTCATTTGTTGTTCTTTTTCTAGTTTCTGAAGGTAGAAGATGAGGTCATTGATTTGAAACCTTTTTTCTAATATAGGTGTTGTAGTGCTATCAGTTTTCCTCTAAAACTGCTTTTTTTTTTTTTTTGCATTATACCAATTTTGATATATTGTGTTTTTGTTTTAATTCAGCTCAAAATAACTTCTAAAATATTTTTATTTTTTTCTTTGACTTGTGAGTTATTTAAAAATGCTTTGCTTTGTTTTGAAGTATCTGAGGGATTTTCCAGATATCTTAGTCTATATTATTGATTACCCATTTATTACTCTGTAGTCAGGGGACATAATTTATATGACTTGCATACTTTTATATTTTCTGAAACTTGTATTATGGCCCAGATTATGATTTATCTCATTAAAAAGGTCTGTGTACACTTGAAAAGAATGCGTATCTGCTATAATTGGTTAGAGTGTTTTATAAATAATTAGTTCATGTTAGTTGACAGATGTTTAAGTTTTAGATCTCCTCACTGATTTCTGTATGCTTGTTCTGTCAGTTATTGAGAGAGGAATATTGAAATCTCTGGTGTTATTCTAACTGCTGATTTGCCCGTTTGTCCTTGTAGTTCTGTCAGGTTTTGTTCTATGTATTGTGAAGCTCTGTTCTGTTCTGTTGGTAAATTAACCCCTTTATCATTATGAAGTAGCTGTCTTTATACCTGGTAATATTCTGTGCTGTGCAATTAGGAATTAATATAGCTACTCCAGATTTCTTTTGATTAGTCAGCATGGGAAATCCGTTCTCATTCTTCCATTTTTAATCTGTTTCTGTCTTTTTATTTATTTATTTATTTATTTATTTATTTATATTTTTTATTTTATTTTTTTAGAATGAGAGAGAGCAAGAGGGTGTGTGTGAGCAGGGGCAAGGGGAGAGGGGCAGAGAGAGAGGGAGAGAAAGAATCCTAAGCAGGCTCCACGCACAGTGCAGAGGCTTGTGAGTCTTTAAAGTGGATTTCTGGTAGGCAAGATATAATTTGGTCTTGTTTTTTTTTTTCTTTTTGCTTTGTTTTTTAAGTAGGCTCCACTCCCCGCATGGGGCTTGAACTCACAACCCTGGGATCAAGTGTTGCATACTCTACAGACTGAGCCAGCCAGGCACCTCTTGGTTTTGCTCTTTTAGTCAGTCTGCCAATCTTTGCATTTTAATTGACTTGTTTTGACACTTACATTTAATTTGATTATTGATGTTTTGGTTTAAATCAGTCATATTGATATTTTTCTATCACAATCTCTCTTCATGTGATATTTTACCACTTCACTCTGCTTCTTCCATTTCTCTCCTGGCTTTTGTGCTATTGTTGTCATACTTCTACATATGTTATGACCCCTACCATACATTGTTATTATTTCTGCTTTAAACAGTTGGTTATCTTTTAAATTCATTTATTTAGTTAGTTTTGGTGGAGGATGCGGGCAATTTATTTTTTTAAAGATTTTATTTATTTGAAAGAGAGAGAGAGAGCACATGCAGGGGGAGCTGCAGGCAGAGGGAGAGGGAGAAGCCAACTCTCCGCAGAGCAGGGAGCCCGATGTAGGGCTCAGTCCCAGGACCCTGGGATCATGACCTGAACTGAAGGAAGATGCCTAACCGACTGAGCCACCCAGGCACTCCCCCCGCTTTTTTTTTTTAAAGATTTTATTTATTTTTTGACACAGAGGGAGAGAGACAGTGAGAGAAGGAACACACAAGCAGGGGGAGTGGGAGAGGGAGAAGCAGGTTTCCCGCAGAGCAGGGATTCTGATGTGGGGCTCAATCCCAGGACCCTGGGATCATTGACCTGAGCTGAAGGCAGCCGCTTAATGACTGAGACACCCAGGTGCCCTGCAGGCACCCCTTTTAAATTGATTTAAATGATAGAAAAGGTCTTTATATTTACCCACATAGTTACCATTTCTGATGCTCTTAATATTTGTGTGTAAAATTACTGGATGGACTTATTTTCACATTTCTTATAATGTAGGTCTTCCAGTTACTAATACTTTTAGGTTTGTATATCTTTTTTTCTTTTTTTTTAAGATTTTTATTTATTTATTTATTTGAAAGAGAGAGAGAGAATGAGCGGGGGTGGGAGGTCGGGGAGCAGAGGGAAAGGGACAAGCAGACTCCGTGCTGAGCACAGAGCCCAACATTGGGCTCCATCTCATGACCCTGAGATCATGACCCGAGCTGAAATTGAGAGTCGGACCCTCAACTGACTGAGTCACCCAGGTGCCCCTAGTTTTTCCATATCTTAAAAAGTTTTTATTTTGCTTCCTTCTTGAAAGATAACTGGGTAAAGAATTTAAGGGTGACAGTCTGTGTCCTCCCCTACCCCCCACATTTACTTTTTTAAAGATGCTTCTCCATTGTCTTCTGGCTGGCATTACTTTTCCTGAGAAATGGGCCATCATCTTTTCTTTTTTGGTCTTTTTTTTTTTTTTTTTTTTTTTTAAGATTTTATTTATTTGCTAGAGAGAGAATGAGAGACAGAGAGCATGAGAGGGAGGAAGGTCAGAGGGAGAAGCAGACTCCCTGCTGAGCAGGGAGCCTGATGTGGGACTCGATCTCGGGACTCTAGGATCATGACCTGAGCCAAAGGCAGTCGCTTAACCAACTGAGCCACCCAGGCGCCCCTTGGTCTTTTTTTTTTTAAGTGTCTTTTTTACTCTGGTTGCTTGTAAGATTTTCTCTTTATCTCTGGTTTTTAGTATTTGATTATAATGTGCCTTGGTGTGCTTGGGATTTGTTGGCCTTTTTGCATTTGTGCTTTTATAGTTTCCTTCAAATTTGGGAAGATTGTGGTCATTATTTCTTCAAATATTTTTTCTGTCTTTCTTCTTCTTCTCCTTCAGGACTCCAATTGCATGTATATTTGGCTAGTTGGAGTTTTTTCACATCTCACTGATTTGCTTTTTTTTTTTTTTTTTTTAAGATTTTATTTATTTGCGAGAGAGACAATGAGAGACAGAGAGCATGAGAGGGAGGAGGGTCAGAGGGAGAAGCAGACTCCCCGCTGAGCAGGGAGCCCGATGTGGGACTCGATCCCAGGACTCCAGGATCATGACCTGAGCCGAAGGCAGTCGCTTAACCAACTGAGCCACCCAGGCGCCCCTTTTTTTTTTAATTCTTTATTTTCTGTATTAAATTTTGAATAGTTTCTATTATTATTCTTCAAGTTCACTCTTATTCTGTGATGTCTGATCTGCCATTAATTCCATCCAGTGTGTTTTTTATCATAGACATTGTAGGTTTTGTTTCTGTAAGTTCTGTTTTTCTTTTTCTTTTTTTTATAACTTTCATGTCTCTATGTAGCATGTTTGATCTTTACTCTAGCTTCTTGAACATGTGTAATACAGTTAGAATAACTTCAAGTGTCTTTGTCTACTAATTCTATCATCTGTATCATTTCTTAGTTTTGACTGATTGATTTTTCTCTTCATTTTGGGTCATATGTTTCTTCTTTGCATGTCCTGTAATTTTTTTCCCCCCACTGGATGCCAGAAACTATGAATTTTGCCTTTTTGTATAGTAGATATTCTGGGATTTCTATTGATGAGCTTTATTGTCATGTGCTTATGTTACTTGGACATAGTTTGATCCTTTTGGGTCTTGCTTTTAAGCTCTATTAGGCAGGACCTGAACATTTAGTCTAGTGCTGATTTTGCCCTATTACCGAGGCAAAAAGCCTTCTGTTTATTCTACTCAGTGCCATACTGATTATGAAGTTTTCTGCTGTGAATGGTAGGAATAGGCACCTTCCTCATCCGGTGTGATCTGTGGGGTTTGCGCCCACTAATCCTCTCAGAGGATTCTTTCTCTGGCTTCAGATGGTTTCTTTACATGCATACATAGCTCAGTACCTAGCTGAATATTTGAGAGGAACCCTCTGCAGATCTTTCAAGTTATGCCTGTGTAGCTCTCCCTTCTAATACTTTGCTCAGTGAACTCTAGTTGCCTTGGCTTCCTCAGACAACCAGCTCCATCTCCTCAATTCAAGGAGACCACTGAGCTTTGCTTGGGTTCCCTCACCTCTCATTATGATCTGTTAACTTTCCCTAGGCAGCAAACTGGGACAAGTGTAAGGCTTGCCTTACTTGTCTTCTGTGTCTCAGGGATCGCTTTTCTTTATCTGTTGCCCAATGTCTTGAACACTGTTGCTTAATGTATTTTGCCTGGTTTCCTGGTTGTTATAGCTCCCAGGATAAATCTGGTCCCTGTTACTCCATCTTGGCTAGAAGTCGAAGTTGGAACTACGGATTTTAATGACCATGTATCATTTCATTGAGTGGCTGTGCCATAACTTGCCTTAGCTGTTTTCTAATTATTTGACATTTAGGTTGTTTCTAAGTTTTTGATATGCCGTCAATAACTTTGTACTGTACATCTTAGTAGTTATGTACTTTTTCCAGTTGAGGGATAAATTGCCAGGAATGAGATTATTAGGTTGAAGGTATAATCCTTTTAATGGTCCTTGACCAAAATTCCAAATGAATTTGTGTTAATGTCACTGACAGTATGAAGGTATCAGTTTCAACATAACCTTGCCAGGTTTGGATGCTTTCATTTAAATTCTGTCTACTCATTAGTAAGTATAAAATGAGAGATCAAGCTGACTTTAATTCTTCCTATTATTTTTAATTGGGTTGAATGTTATTTCATGTAGTTTCATACAAGTTTCAACAGAAATTTCTGGTACTTTTACAAACTTAAAATTATGTGGACAACTTTACAGCTTATCACTGCTGTTTATACTTACTATATCCTTTTTCTAAAGAACATGGAATAGATCAAATTAAAGTGAAGAAAATGAGGTGGTCCTCTATGTATGGTTTAGGAAGATATATAGATAAGTGAAAAAAAATGATGTGCTAAATAGTGCTTATGATATGCTAACTTGTGTATAAGAAAAGGTTGGCAATAAAAGTGTACTTTATTTTTTGCTTTTATTTGCATGAAGAAATAGTATAAGATTGTATAGGAAACTAATGAAAGTGGTTGTCTAATGGGAAGGCAAAAATGAAGTAGGCAGGGCTGAGGTATGAGCAAGACTTCTCAATGTATTCAATTTCTGTCAGTTTGACTTGAACAATGTGAAAATTAATGTAAAACATTTATAATCACCTACTATGTTTTAGTTAATATGCATTAACTTCTAATTTAATGATCATTAATATAATTTTTTTTCCTCTAGAAAAGAATACTGCATTGAGAGATGGACTTCTGGTATTCTTTTTTGCAATTGTTCCCCTTATTGTACTTGCTGCTTTTGTCTTCATCAAGAGAGATCAACTGTGGAAAAGCTACTTCCGAAAGAAGAGATCACAAACATATGAGTACTTAGATTTTTTTCTTTTAAATTCATATTAAATAATTTAAAGTAATTATTAATGATGAGTCATATCATAGGGGTTGGTTTAAAAATAGGGTTCTAAGAGTTAGTTGGGATCAAAGGATAGTGGTGACTCAGCCACCTCTAATAACAGTGAGGGGAAAGGATTATAAGCTACTGAAAATAGCCCGTAAGGTTCATCTTGTTTGACATTGATTTCTGGTACTGGGGGTGAATATAATTTTGGGCTACAACTTTTTAATTGCGCTTCTTAATTCGAGATTAAAATATGAGATAAAGGTAAAAAACATAAATGTCAAAAAATTGTCTTCCATGTCTGTTTGAAGTATCAGCTTCAAAGAGTGTTTCAAATATTGAAAGCATATTTTGTGAATTACAAGTTTTTAAGAAATAAGTTTTGGTGGAGGGAAGGGCTGTCAAAATTCAGACACTTGACATTTCTGGTCTATGTGTCAGACTCTTGTACGACTGTCTCTCAACTATCACTTCTAACATGTTGGCATTAGAATACAACATATATTAGCATAGCCTTGTAATCCGTTTGCCATTTGCTAGAATTATGAACTGGAATAATAAATAAAACTCTCTGAGCTTTGGTTTACTTCCTCTGAAATAGGAATAATATTACCTGTCTCTTAGGGTTGATGTGAGGATTAAATGGGAACGTATTAACAAATAAAATCCATAGCACATTGCTGGCACAATGTAATTACTTAAAAACTCATTTTTATTATGATAAAAAACTAGTTTATTATGATAGTGATTTCTTACTTAGGATATAATATTTTGCTAGGGTATCCTGATGTTAGCTTTAATTTTTAACATATTCTAAAACAGATTTATCTTCCTATTCTTTCTTTCTCTTACTTCCTATTGTACTGGAACCGACCAATCCATAGATAATTCTCCAGTCTGCATCTCTGAAATTTTAGTTCCATACCCGTAGCTCTCTCCTATACATCTCTACTGAGCTGACTTGCTGTCGCCTCAGCATGTCTAAAATTTAGTTGCTATCTTTCCAACCAGCTTCTTTGCTCCTCTTGGGCTTCCTAATTTTTAGAATGACTACTTCATGTTTTGTGTATTCAGCCTTAGAATATGCATTTACTCTTTGATTTGAGGAAGACCTGAGGAGAAAAGTTTGGAAACAAACACTGGCCTAATTGGCCAAATTTTATGGTTCCTTAGAATTTCAGGTTATTTAATTTTAAAATGGGGTTAATGAAACTTTCTAGTACTGTAAAGATGAAAAATGTGTGAACTGTTAAACATGCCATAAAGATTTTAGCTGTCATTGTGACCATCATTACTACCACTACGAACATCATTATTCTATTTCTCAGAAAATGCAATGCATGTGTAACATGTCACGTAGAAACGATCTAATCTTACCTTAGCTCAAAAGTAATCGTCTCTTTCAGATCAGATGGCAAAAACCAAGCGAAAGCTTCTAGACAGCCAGTGAGTGTTCCTCGACATGCTTCTTCAGTGACTTCTCCCAGAGAAGTTGTAAGTTTAAAACAAAAAATATTTTTTTATTATATTATGGTATCACATTGCTAAAAATTTCAAAAATAATTGCTACATGGGTATAGAAATAAGCATAGATGATTTCTTAAGAATTTAAGAATGTGGGGGCGCCTGGGTGGCTCAGTTGGTTAAGCGACTGCCTTCGGCTCAGGTCATGATCCTGGAGTCCCGGGATCGAGTCCCACATCGGGCTCCCTGCTCAGCAGGGAGTCTGCTTCCCCCTCTGACCCTCCCCCTTCTCATGCTCTCTCTCTCTATCTCATTCTCTCTCTCAAATAAATAAATAAAATCTTTAAAAAAAAAAATCTTAAAAAAAAAAAAAAAGAATTTAAGAGTGTGGTCTCTGGATTAATGAAAACAATACCAGTGGGGTCCCTGGCTCAGAAGAGTCGGGAGAAAATATCGACATTAAGAATGCTTTGCCCTGAAACCAAGATTGGGAAATGACATAGGATATCTGCTGTCACTACTTTTTTCTATGTCTGCTCTCTGTCTGTTTTCAATGCCTGGCTTCCCTAGGGTGTGCGGCCAAAGACATGGTGCTGAGCTCCTGGAATAGGCCTAATTGTCTCAGTACTGGGACCAGTAATCATTGTTCCTTTGAGTGTATTAGGGAGTACTGGGATAATAATATCCTTTTTTTCTTTTTACGTATGCATGTATATTTATGCAAGTAATATTATATATTTCTTCAGATGTTTTTAAACTTTATATATGTTTTGTTTGCTATTTCATGCATCTATCTGCAACCTGCTTTTTCCTTTAACATTGCTTTGTGCTTTAGCCCTCTTAATACCTGTAGCCCTCATTCATTTGTTTTCACTTTTGATGTTATGTTACTTAAATACCACGCAATTTTAAAATCCATTTTTCTATTAGCAGATTCCAATTTTTTGTAACTACGAACAAGGCTGAGATGAACAGTTTATATATATCTTCTCATGCACATGTGTGAGTTCTAGGACTGCATCGTCTACTGCAGTAGTTACTATCACATGTGGCTATTTAAATTTCATTTTAAATTAAATGAAATTAAGAATTCCGTTCCTCGCTCAGTAGATCACATGTGGCCACTGATTACCATATTGAAAAGCATAGATACAGAATATTTCCATCAATGCAGAAAATTTTATTAGAAAGCACTGATCTAGGGGCAGGTAGGAATGAAAATGCTGGGCTGAAAGATATGTAACTATTTGCTGGAAATTGCCAAATTCATTTCCAAAGAGGTTACACCATTGGGTGATTGTATCATCAATGGTATATGTGCATTCCTGTTGATCTACATCCTTGTCAACACTTGATATTGTCAGACTTTTAAAGTCTTTCCAATTATGTGGAGTTAAAGTCATTAGATATCCTTCCTCATGTTTTATTACAGACGAGTATGTGTGTGTGTGTGTATATATATATAATCTCCCTATTCTACTCCCTTTTCCTTTTTAAAAAGGAAACAAAAAATTGTTACGCTATTTTCCCCCTTAAACATATATGTTGGAGAATTTTCCATAACACTACATATGCAGGGTGCTCACACATGCAAGTTAGAAATTACATATGTGTTCTTCATCCTTGATATATTTTTTCCTTTTTTAATTGTGTAAAATAAATATACCCTAAAATTTGCCATTTTAACCATTTTTGAATATACAATTCAGTGACACTAATTATATTCACAATATTGTACAATCATCACCACTATCTATTCCTGAAACCTTTTCATCAGAAACTCTATACCCAAGCATTTTCCAGGATGGGAACCACTCCGCCTGGGAGCCTCGTTGCTATGAGCGAGGCGCAGACCTTTCAACAGGAGCTTTATTAATTCTCACGCTATGACCCAGGAAGGCTATGGAGTGGCTGCTAATTGCTCTCTGCGTGTGAAGAGACCTATGTTGGATCCCCGTTTCGAGGGTTACAAGCTCTCCCTCAAGCCGCTGCCCTGCTACCAGCTGGAGCTTGATGCAGCCGTGGCAGAAGTAAAACTTCGAGATGATCAATATACACTGGAACACATGCATGCTTTTGGAATGTATAATTACTTACACTGTGATTCATGGTATCAAGACAGTGTCTACTACATTGATAACCTTGGAAGAGTTATGAATTTAACAGTGATGCTGGACACTGCTTTAGGAAAACCACGAGAAGTGTTTCAACTTCCCACAGATTTGACAGCATACGACAGTCGTCTTTGTGCATCTATCCATTTCACATCTTCTACCTGGGTTACCTTGTCAGATGGAACTGGACGATTATATCTCATTGGTACAGGTGAACATGGAAATAGTGCTTCTGGAAAATGGGAGATTATGTTTAATGAAGAGCTTGGCAATCCTTTTATCATAATTCACAGTGTCTCACTGCTGAATGCTGAAGAACATTCAGTAACTATCTTACTTCTTCGAATAGAGAAAGAGGAATTGGATATGAAAGGAAGTGGATTCTATGTTTCTTTGGAGTGGGTCACTATCAGAAAAAACAAAGATAATAACAAATACAAAATTATTAAACGTGATATTCTCCGTGGAAAGTCAGTACCACATTATGCTGCTATTGAGCCTGATGGGAAGGGTCTGATGATTGTCTCCTACAGGTCCTTCACATTTGTTCATGTTGGTCAAGATCTTGAAGAAAATAAGAATGAGAACATGTCAGAGAAAATCGAAGAACCTCTGTATTACTGGCAACAGACTGAAGATGATTTGACAGTAACAATACGGCTTCCAGAAGGCAGTTCTAAGGAGGACATTCAAGTACAGTTTTTGCCTGATCACATCAACATTGTGCTGAAGGCTCAGAGGTTTCTGGAAGGAAATCTCTATTCATCTATGGATCAAGAAAGCAGTACATGGGTAATTAAAGAGAATAATTGCTTGGAGATTTTCTTGATTAAAAAGAATGAAGGACTAACGTGGCCAGAGCTAGTGGTCAGTGATGAGCAAGGAGAGTTTATAAGAGACTCAGCCCAGTGTGCTGCAATAGCTAAATGTTTAATGCATTTGACCTCTGAAGAACTGAATCCAAATCCAGATAAAGAAAAACCTCCTGGGGGCGCCTGGGTGGCTCAGTCAGTTGAGCGACTGCCTTCGGCTCAGGTTGTGATCCCAGGGTCCTGGGATCGAGTCCCACATCGGGCTCCCTGCTCTGCGGGGAGCCTGCTTCTCCCTCTCCCACTCCCCCTGCTTGTGTTCCCTCTCTCGCTGTGTCTCTCTCTGTCAAATAAATAAATAAAATCTTAAAAAAAGAAAAAAAAAAAGAAAAACCTCCTTATAATGCTCAAGAGTTAGAAGAATGTGACATTTTCTTTGAAGAGAGCTCCAGTTTATGCAGATTTGATGGCAGTACATTAAAAACTACTCATGTGGTGAATCTTGGAAGCAACCAGTACCTTTTCTCTGTCATAGTGGATCCTAAAGAAATGCCCTGCTTCTGTTTGCGCCATGATGTTGATGCCCTACTCTGGCAACCACACTCCAGCAAACAAGATGATATGTGGGAACATATTGCAACTTTCAATGCTTTAGGCTACGTCCAAGCATCCAAGAGAGACAAAAAATTTTTTGCCTGGGCTCCCAATTACTCCTATGCAGCCCTATGCGAATGCCTTCGTCGAGTATTCATCTACCGTCAGCCTACTCCCATGTCCACTGTACTTTACAACAGAAAGGAAGGCAGGCAAATAGGACAGGTTGCTAAGCAGCAGGTAGCAAGCCTAGAAACCAATGATCCTATTTTAGGCTTTCAAGCAACAAATGAGAGATTATTTGTTCTCACTACCAAAAACCTCTTTTTAATAAAAGTAAATACAGAGAATTGATTACCCCAACATGTTGGCTTTTCTGTAGTGGAAAAGTATTCGGTGATAGCCAGAAGGTTGGTAGTTATACTGTAACCTGTTAAGTTTTACTATGTTAAATAAAATGATCTTGTATGAATTTTTTATTTTTTAAAGGATATTGGAAATATATTCAAGAGATTATGATTCTGTAAAAGTTATGGAATGAAGCTGAAAATTTAGAGGAAGTTGGCTTCTATTAAAAAAATGTAGAAGTATTAGTAAGTATAATTATTTTTAAAAAACAGGCTGGAATTTCATCTTTGTTATGAAAGATGTACAATTCGGTGTTTAAAAATAAAAATGTTTATCATGAAAAAAAAAAAAAAAAAAAGAAACTCTATACCCAAAGCAATAACTCCCATTTTCCCGGAGCCCTTACCACTATCAACCACTATTCTACTTTTTTTTTGCTGAGATGTAATTGACATACATTTATTAGTTTTGGGTATTCAACATAAACATTCAATATTTGTATATATTGTGAAATGATCGATCACCACAAAAAGTCTAGTTAATATCCATTAGCCCACATAATTTTACTATCCTTGTGATGAGAACTTTTGAGATCTATTCTCTTAGCAATTTTCAAATATACAGTACAATATTTTAACTATAGTCACCATGCTGTGTACATTACATTTCCATGACTTACTTATTTTGTAACTGGAAGTTTGTACCTTTTGACCTCCTTCACCCAATGTCACCCCATCCCCCACTCCCACCTCTGGCAACCACCAATCTGTTCTCTGTATGAGGTTTTTTTTTTTTTTTTTAAGATTCTACATATAAGCGAGGTCATATAGTATTTGTCTTTCTGTCTGACTTCACTAGTATATTGCCCTCAAGGTTGATCCATGTTGTTGAAAATGGCAAGATTTCCTTCTTTTTTATGGCTGAATAGTATTTTATTATATATATATATATATATATATATATATATATATATATATATATATATATATACACACACACACACACAGCACATCTGTATGTATGTATGTATACCTAAGAGTGGAATTGATATGTTATATTGTTATTCTGTATTTAATTTTTTGAGGAACCACCAGATGGTTTCCACAGTGGCTACACCATTTTACATTTCTACCATGAGTGTTCTGATTTCTTCCCATCTTTGTCAACACTTGTTATTTTCTGTTTTTGCTTTGCTTTTTAAATTTTAATTATAGCCATCCTAGTGGATGTTGAATGGTTCCTTGTTGTGCTTTTGATTTGCATTTCTCTAATGATTAGTGATGTTGAGTATCTTTTCATGTGCTTATTAGCCATTTGTATCTCTGGTCTAGAGAAATGTGTATTCAAGTCCATTGCTCATTTTTTTAATTGGGTTGCTTGTCTTTTTGTTGTTGAGTTGTAGGTCTTTATATATTCTGGGTATTAACACTTTATCAGATATATGATTTGTAGATATTTTCTTCCATTCTCTAGGTTGTCTTTTCACTTTGTTGATAATGGTCTTTAATGCACAAGATTTTTATTTTTTATGAAGTCCAGTTTATCTGTTTTTTCTTTTGTTGCTTATGCTTTTGATGTCATCTCTAACAATCCATTGTCAAATCCAAGGACATGAAGATTTACTTGTATGTTTTTTAAAAGTTTTATGATTTTAGTTCTTATGTTTAGATCTTTGATCCATTTTGAGTAATTTTTGTATATGGTATGAAATAGGGGTTCAGTTTCTTTCTTTTGCATGTAGAAATCCACTTGTCCTGGCCTTATTTGTTGAAGAGACTATTCTTTCTTCATCGAATGGACTTAAAACCTTGTGGAAAATCAGTTGGCCATAGATGTATAGGTTTATTTCTATTCTCTGAATTTTATTCATTTGGGCTCTATTTCCATCCTTATGGCAGCTCTACACTATTTTGATTGTTGTGGGGTTGTAATGACTTTTGACATTGCAAAGTGTGAGTCCACCAACTTTTTTCTTCTTTTTCAAGATTGTTTTGTTATTTAAGGCCCCTTTGATTCCATATGATTTGAGAATCTACTTTTCCATTTCTGCAAAAAAGGCTGTTGGAATTTTGATAGGGGTTGTGTTGAATCTACAGATCACTTTGGGTTATATTGACATATCCTGACAGTATTAAGTCTTTGAATCCATGAACACTAGTTGTATTTCCATTTTTATAGATCTACTTCAATTTCTTTCAGCAGTGTTTTGTAATTTTCAGTATACAAGTCTTTGACCTTCTTGGTTAAGTTTATTCCTAGGTGTTTTATTCTTTTGGAGGCTATTGTAAATGGAACTGCTTTCTTAATTTCCTTTTTGGATTTTTCATTGTTGGTGTATAGAAACAAAACCAATTTTTGCATGTTCATGTTACATCCTGCATCTCTGCTGAATTCATTTGTTAGCTCTAGTAGCTTTCTTGTGGACCCTTCAGGATTTTTTGTTTATATAGGATCGTGTTATCAGTGAAAGGAGGTAGTTGTACTTCTTTCCAAATTGAATGTCTTTTCTTTTCTTTTCTTCTGTTGATCTGGCTAGATCTTCCAGTAATATGTTGCATAGCGGTGGTAAAAGCAAGCATCCTTGTGTTCCTAATTTTGAGGTCAATTTCCTTGGCATATTTAAATATTTCCTTATGTTCTTCCAGTGACATCTTTCATGTTGATAATGAGAAGTCCTTAAAGCAGTTCCTGATAGCTATTTTTAAAAGGTTTTCGGCTGTCGGGAGTTAGAGTCCTTATGTATGAGATTGGGAAAGACCATCTCTCATCTCAAATCCATTTTTAAAATATTAATACAGCAATATCAGTTTTTACTTTTTTTTTTTTTAAAGATTTTATTTATTTGTCAGAGAGAGAGACAGAGCACAAGCAGGGAGAGAGGCAGGCAGAGGGAGAAGCAGGCTCCCCCCTGAGCAAGGAGCCCAATGCAGGACTCTGTCCCAGGACTCTGGGATCATGACCTGAGCCGAAGGCAGATACTTAACCGACTGAGCCACCCAGGCGTCCCCAGCTTTTTCTTTTTGTTTAATATTTACTTTATGTCTTTTTACATGCAACGTTTCTTTGTCTTTATGTTGTCTCTTATAAACAGAATATCTTATTTAAAAATTTTTTAAAAATATTTGTCTTTTAACTGGAGACTTTATGTTGAATGCAATTATTAATATAGTTTTTCTACCATATTATTTTTATAATCTCATTGTTTTCCTGTTTCTTCTGTTTTCTCCCCACACCACAAAGCCTCTTCTGTTTTTTTGGACTGATTTAGTTTCCTCCTTGCTCCATTTCATTTTTCTCCTCTGCTTGTCTTTAGATACATTGTTAGATAAATTAGATTCAAATCCATTCGTTATTTATGATAGTTTCTTGTAGCTTCATTATGTTTTTAAAAGCACTCATTTCTTTAAACATACAAAATACCTACTTTTTGTGCTTTATCTGATCATTTTAATATGTGCAGTCTTGGTTCTGTGGTTTGTTATTTCTACTGATTCTTGCAGTGGCTTGTTTGCTAGTGTGCTTTGTGATACTGATTGTAAACTGGCATTCTTTTGAATTTTATATGGGAGAATTATTTCAGTCTTGAATCATAGTGAGTTCCTGCAGAGTGTGTGTATTTCCCTTGGCCACTTGTTTGAGGGCATGGTCAATCTTCTGTGCCTTTGTTTTTTTTTATTATTATTATTTTTTAATTTTTTAATTTTTTAAAGATTTTATTTATTTGAAAGAGGGAGCCACAGTGAGAGAGGGAACACAAGCAGAGGAAGTGGGAGAGGGAGAAGCAGGCTTCCTGTTGAGCAAGGAGCCTGATGCGGGGCTTGATCCCGGGATCCCGGGATCATGACCTGAGCCAAAGGCAGACGCTTAACGACTGAGCCACCCGGCGCCCCCTCTGTGCCTTTAAATTAAAATTTTTGTTGGTGTTTTTTTGGGTCACACAAGTGTTATGAACTCTGCCCCCCCAAACCTTTGTGAGGATGGGTGTATGGTTAGAAATTCCCCAGGGAGATGATTTTCTTTTATTCCCCTTCTACCAGTACCAAGGTCTATTTAAGCAAGTTTCTCCACTGTTCCCTGGGACAGGTGTTTCTTTATTGAGTTAATCCAGTGAGGATATTGCCCTTTAGGGGCCTACGCTTTGTATTAGGTCTTATATTCAGCATTCCATCCAGTTCAGCATTCCATCCAATTCCATCCAATTCTACGTCTATATATTACCTGAAAACATATAATGTAGCCCACCAGGGATGGAAGATATTCATAGGACAAACGCTGTTACATAGCTGGACTCTTTCATACTTATTGTTTTTTGGTCTTTAAGATGTTTCTTACTCCCTACTAACTCATTCAAGCATTAAAAAAAAAAAATACCTGGGGTGCATGGGTGACTCAGTCAGTTAAGCATCTGCCTTCGGCTCAGGTCATGATCCTGATGTCCTGGGATCGAGCCCCGTGTCAGGCTCCTTGCTCAGCGGGGAGCCTGCTTCTCCCTCTCCCTCTGCCTACTGTTCCCCCTGCTTGTGCTGTCTCTCTCTGTGTGTCAAATCAATAAATAAAATCTTTAAAAAAAATAAAAAAAATACCTGTTAATATTTTAACCAGCATTTTAGTGCTCTCTACTTGGAACATTTTAGTCCATTGTTTGTAAGAAGCATGTATCCCAGGCTTTTAATAACTGTATACCAGTCCATCTTACGGATTTATCACAAATTTAAAAACCAGTTGTTTCAAATCTTGTTACCACAGAAAAATGCAGTATCAAGGATCCTTCTATATACGTCTTTGCATACATGTAAAAGTATATGTTAAATTCCAAGAAGTAGAGTTTAACTATCCTTTTAAAGTGCTGCTTCCATGGGTTGGTGGAAAGGCAATGAGACATTTTCTTGTGTCCCTTCTCCATTTAACAGTATAAGCAAATATTCTTTGGGACAGAAAAATAGACTGTCTGTTCTACAGCGGGACCCAGAGAATGTTCAAGCTCTTCTCCAACACCATGCATATTCCTTTTTTTTTTTTTTTTGAGATAGAGAGCCTGCAAACATGGGGAGGGGCAGAGAGAGAATTTTAAGTAGGCTCCACGCCCAGCACTTAAACTCATGACCCTGAAATCAAGAGTTGGATGCTTAACCATAATTCCATCTGATCTTCCCTAACTTTTCCTAATGTAATGTGATATGTGAAAAATATTCTTACTTTTACTTTCTTATTTATTATAGACTCTCACTTTATTATAAAACTTCTTTCAACTATCTTGATAAGGAAGGAATATCATGAATCCCCAAATTAAGGGTTGTAAATTAGGAGTATTTACAATACTAGTTAGATACCGAGCAGGTTTGGCAATATATTTTTGGAAGATTTTATTTAAAATATGTTGATAGGGGGTGCCTGGGTGGCTCAGTCGGTTAAGTGTCTGCCTTCGGCTCAGGTCATGATCCTGGGGTCCTGGGATCGAGACCTGCATTGGGCTCCTTGCACAGCGGGGAGCCTGCTTCTTCCTGTCCCTCTGCCTGCCATTCCCTCACTTGTGCTCTCTCTCTCTCTCTCGCTCTTTGTCAAATAAATAAATAAAATCTTAAAAAAAAATATGTTGGGACACCTGGGTGGCTCAGTTCATTAAGCAGCTGCCTTCGGCTCAGGTCATGATCCCAGAGTCCTGGGATCGAGTCCCACATCGGGCTCCCTGCTCTGCGGGAAGCCTGCTTTTCCCTCTCCCTCTGCTGCTCCCCCTGCTTGTGCACTTTCTCTCTCTCTCTCTGACAAATAAATAAATAAAATCTTTACAAAAAATATGTTGATGGGGCTCCTGGGTGGCTCAGTCATTTGAGCGTCTGGCTCTTGGTTTCAGCTCAGGTCATGATCTCAGGGTCGGGGGATTGAGCCCCACACTGGGCTCTGTGCTCAGCATGGAACCTGCTTGAGATTCTCTCCCTCTCCCTCTTCACCTCCCCACTGCATGCTCTCTCTCTCTCTAAAATAAATAAATTTAAAAAAATATATATATTGGTATAGGAAATAAGTTACCTTTTAATTAATGTAGTTGATTAGAACCAAGATTATAATAGTACTATTGAATTAAAAAAATATAGCCTTAAAAGAATTAAGTATTCCACATTCAGTGGCAAAGATGTGTTGAATAAGCAAACTATTTTTAAATGTCAGCATTGTAAATATCTATTCATTGATTTGAAATATATTGATTACTTTCTGTATAGAAAACATATTTATGAGTGCATTGTGGTAATAACTGTTTTTTCCTTTTTAGCCTATATATGCAAACAGAATTCCGGTACCAACTTACGCAGCCAAGCAGCCTCAGCAGTTCCCATCAAGGTCTGAAGTGAATTCACTCAGATTACTTAACCAGAGTAAAACCCAGGGTTAATGTCTAAGAATTGCTCCCTTGTATTTAATTTAGCACAGGGTATTTCTTGCCAACAGTTTAGATAGAACACAATTTTTAGAAAAGCTTTTAAGAACTTTTTATGTAAGTTTTGTCATATTAGTGCAGTGTCAACATGCAAATTTAAAGAAGTCTGGGGCGCCTGGGTGGCTCAGTTGTTAAGCATCTGCCTTCAGCTCAGGTCATGATCCCAGGGTCCTGGGATCAAGCCCCGCGTCGGGCTCCCTGCTCGGCGGGAGGCCTGCTTCTCCCTCTCCCACTCCCCCTGCTTGTGTTCCCTCTCTCGCTGTGTCTGTCAAATAAATAAATAAAATCTTTAAAAAAAAATTTTTTAAGTCTGAGCAAGACAAGCAAATGGTGCTGCAGCCTTCGGTGTACGTAAGATTCAGAAGCAAGGGCCTTTAAAATACCCAGTGATGGCAAACCAGATGGGTAAGACCAGCCTTCCTATTAGGAACAGCTAGAGAAGCTAGACAAGGTAAGGAAATATGTGTTTGAAGACCTGAGTGAACTATCAGATAGGAAACGAGGAGGAAATGTGGGGCCCAGGAGAGAAAGGCAGTCCGGACATAATCCCAGCTTTTGGGGGACAGTTTTCCATCCTGGACATGTCTCCCAATTCTCAATGTGAGAACTAAGAGGCTAGGAAGCTGAGGAGAGCTTGCAACAAATTCCCAGGGCTGAGGGGGCAAGAACTGGAGCCCAGCCAAGCAGGAGGTTCCCTGGCAGTCCTCCCAGGCACTGTGTTGGGCCCCAGTGATAAGGATAAACTAGATCCTTAACTTATTTCTACAATTTTTTATGTTTGGCCCCAGTCAAAAGAGCAGACCTACAAGAAAAGAAAATGTGACTAAAACAAGAAAAGCCACAGATGATAGAAACAAACTCAGAGGGTATTACCCAGTGAGGAGCATCATCAGCCACAGACTTTAAAATGACTAATGATTATGTCATTGAACTAATAGTTAAGATTGAGACTTTTCAGCACAGTACTACAAACTTTAATAAAAGAATCATATGGAAGTTCTAAAACTGAAAAACACAAGCACTGAAATCTTTCAGTTCTCAATGGATGGACTTAAAATCAGCAAGGAAGAACATTGATTACGATGTTTTGCAATGTATAAAGTGCATCTTACCCTTCCCACCCCCAAAAGTCCTTCAAATTGCAACTGAATTGCAACACTAAGGAGTGTTCTCCTGTATAATCTTTATTATATAATAAGAGTGCATGGAAATCCAGCTGCGCATCAAGAGAGGAATATATAAATTGTGAGACAGATATTCACCAGGTCATGTTCTGGTGTGTTATCGGAGTAGAGGAATACTAGAATTGGATGAAGAGGGTGAGGAAGGGTATAGAGGTGAAGGACAGGTATAGAAAAGTCATAGCAGGTTTGATTCTCAGAGTGGGTGTTAGTTTTGAATGAGTTGGAATTTCAGCTTTATTTATGTAAACGGAGCTAGTGACCTCCCTTGTCTTTTACAATTTGTCTTTTCAATTTCATGTGTTATTCCTTTTAAAAATATATAAACCAGAACCTTCATATAATATTTTTGATTATAGAATAGCATTACTTTTTGGTAGTTACTCCATTTTAGATGCTGATTGCATCCTTTAACCATTGCATATAAGATGAATAATAATCTCAGAATATAATGTACTCTTCAGAATTGTCAGCAGTGTTAAAGATGGTGTTACAATGGGCTTTTAATGATGTAGTATTATTTTATTCAGTTGAAACACATAATTAACTGTCTTTTTTCCCCTCACAGGCCACCTCCACCACAACCGAAAGTATCATCTCAGGGAAATTTAATTCCTGCTCGTCCTGCACCTGCACCACCTTTATATAGTTCCCTCACTTGAATTTTTTTTTTTTTTTTTTTACCTTTACTTTTGCAGACATCTTCAGGGAACTGAGCTAATCCTTTTTTTTTTTCCTGATATTTTCTTGAAAAGCCTTTCTTCCTGCTGCAACTATGAATGAAAACAAAATACCATAAAACAAACTTTGCTAACACAGAAAAACAGAAATTGAGTAGTGGGAATTGAGAAATATAAGAAATGCAGTAAAGTCAGGGCATTTAGAATAACATTTCCATTTCCATCACTGAATAATAAGTCTTATTCAGTCATTCTGTGAGGTTAATGCACCAAACATGGATTATGTTATTTTAAACATGGTATTGTAATGATTCTTAAATTAAGTTTTGTCATTAAATGCTTCAATGACAAATTTTGACCTTAGTTGCCATTAATGTAGTTTCTGGTTGAACATGTGATTATCTAATATCTGTGAAAACTAATTAGCTGTCAGTAATATCTAATGTTTTTCATCTTGCACGGACTAATAATCATCATATGCTAGAATCTTGTCTATCTCATTCACTACACAAATAAAGGAATATTCTGTCTTCAGAAGAATGTGCAAAATCCACAATTTAGATATCATCATCTTATTTTGAGAGTACAAAGTATACTAAAAGTGTGTATGTGTGTATTCACACACAGTTATTGTCTTCCTTTTTTATGATCATTCTGTGGATAAATGATTCCATGGATTCTAGGGATAGTAGAGTCTATGGGTCTATCTATGGATAATGAATATTAGAAAAATTAATTTAATAATAGAATTTCTATTATGAATCATGTTAAAGCATGGCATTCTTTTACAATAGCATTATTTTAAATAAATTAAACTTTAAGGTACGGAGTATTTAATAGAACTAATCAGATATGCTGTTGATACCTGGCTCTAACAAAGCAGGAGCTCTTATAATATCTTCAATCAAATTGAGATATCATAAAACCACTTGAGAATTTCATGAGCACTTTAAGTTTAAAATCTGAAACTTCAAAGCTTGCTATTAATATAATTTAGAATGTTTACATTTACTAAGGTGTGCTGGATCATATCTCTGTTGTAACTAATGTTTTCAAAGAAATTAGGCTGGAGAAAAGAAGTTAGAAAAGGTTTTTCTTAGTAAAAGCAAAAAAACTAGTGAGGTGTGTAGGAGTTATTATTCCATCTGTGTAAAAAATGAATTTTTACTTCAGAAAAAATGATATGGATGGTGAAATTTTAAACACTCAAAAAATTTTCATAACCTTTCATAATAAAATTTAATAATAGGTTTATTAACTGAATTTCATTAGTTTTTCAAAAAATTTTTGTTTGTGTATATATACATATACAAATATAACATTTGCAATAAATAAAAGACTTGAAATTCTGTTTTGTGTCGCCCAGTAACTTCCTAAATACCCAGCTTTTTATAACCTTATTAATTAAAACATACTAGTTTTAGATAAAACCACTAGTCAAACTTTTACAGATATTATCTTACTAATTTTCAGACTTCTGCTGAATTGTGCACAGTGGCTTTTTTGTTATTAAAGGAAAACAGATTAGTTTTGAAGAAGACAGATATTTCAGTTCTTTGAAGATGATACATTATTTTAACAATCTGGTATATATTAAAACTTACATATAGGATGTGGGTGGACAAATACTCAGGAGCCAGGCAGTCCATAAAAAGGACAGTAGGATATAGAAATATAGGGAAAATTTGTACTTCAGTGTATGCATTGTCTGGAGTTTAGACTCTAGAAGAGAACTCACCTTTCCTGGCTTTAGGATTCTATAGGAGCTATTTTACAATAGTAAAATAGTTTTATCACTTTGGATAACTGATAGCAATGTGTTCATAGACATGAAAATTCTGCCCAGCAGAGGTTCAGCTGACATCCCTCCCTTTTTTGCCTCCAATAGCACATTTATTTCAATATTCCTGATCTTTGGATTCTCCTTTGAACTGGCTGTAATACCTCACCACTTTACTCATTAATGAAGTAAACACAGTCTTTAATGTGTGTTCCTTTTACAAAAAAGTGTAAACACTCCCAAATGATGATTCTTCATTTCAGTTTAAATCTTTGAATGAATTCATATAAGACTAAAATGTTTGTGTCTTTCTCTCATATAGTCTCAATTTTTGCAACTGTAATTCGTATCACTGAAATCTTGGTAATATTTTAACTATATAACTTAAAACTTTTCTCAGAATTCGATAAATCCTTGGATTTTTGAATATTTAGAAAATTTTTCTAAAAGACTTTGATCAGTCTGAACTTACTTTTGTATATATTTTTTTGCATGTTTTATATGCTTTTCACTTAGGTTTTCCTTGATTTATTCTGGATTGCTGTTAAAAATTGTAAAATTTCTTAGCCATAGATGTCACTTCAAAATTTGCAAATATTAAAGGGCTTCTTTGTCATCTGCTAAAGACATTTTAATAATTAGATCAATTATATATAACTTTGATATCACTGTTGGACCATAGGTTCACAAAATTACCTTGCTCAGGATATTGCATTTTCCCTTTCTCTCAAGCAGATGCCTGGGTCTCTAACCAGATAGTTAAGCACAGTCCAGGTTTTCAAACCACAAATCAGATTTTACTAAATTCCATAAATGTTTACTGAAACTCTACCATCTTGCAGGTATCATTAGGCACTGTGATATGTAAGTTCTGGATGGTACATCTAACTCCTGTTATGGAGAGAACTAAATACACAAGAATAATATAAAGTCTGCTTAAAGGTTGAAGAAGAGAAACAATAAATAAACCAGGATTTCATTCAAAATACTTCCCACTAATTTACAAGTCTAAGTACTTACTGTAGTTATTTTCCTAATACTACGAAGCAAGATGAAACCAGCTTTTGGCTCAACTACTGCTTAGAAACAGTGTTCGTCTAGCATTGGCTGTTCTGTTGGGATACAAGCTGGGTGTAGATTTTTTTTGCCTTGTTTTTGCTCATGCTAATCCTTTTTAGGCTTAGACGGTCCTGTTGAAATCCTTTGCATCAGTAAAATCGCATCTCAACTGTCAGTTTAGATGGGGTGATTCCCTAAGTGAGCTTTTCTGTGTTCCCACCCAGCCTTTCAGTTTGTGCGTCTGCCTTTCTGTTAATTAGTATGATCGATTAATTCATTCTTTGGGATTTCAAAAGAATTAAAAAGGTAGTGCATATAGGTGGAGACTGGAGGTGAGGCCGAGAGGGAGGAGGCATTGCAGTCCCAGGGAATAAGGCGATGTTTATTCAGAAAGACCAGAAGTCAGAGTGGCCAAAGGATTGCGGATAGGAGAAAATGGGTGGCAGCTTGGGCTTGGAATTTAGAAAATTTTTCTACTGGAACATACGTACTGGAATTCTGGGTAAGAGTCTTCTCCATATCATTCACTACATAAATGAATAAGTATTCACCGTACTGAGAAGGTATTGAACAAGAGAATGATATCACATGAATTCTAGCCAAGGGCTTGTGAAGAACCAGACTGATTGGAGGAAAAGTAGACACAGCCTGATTACTCCGTGCATTTGAGCCGTAGGTATGGGGGAAAAAAACAAAAACCAAAACCCACAGCAGACTCTCTTCAAAGATACAAAGTCTCACTTTTCCCCTTTTTGGAATCTTTTTCACACATCTGGCTATTTTTATTTTTAGAAACCCAGCTTTAGTAAATAATGAGTGTGTGCGTGCGTGTAGTTTTAAATTCAGAAAGTATTGCACGATCGTCTTTTAGAACACCTGGAAGTGTGTGCTACAAAACAGCCTACAATAAATGCGTTAGTTCTTCCAGGTCCGTCAACACGAAAGGTTGGTGGGGGACCGCAGCTGCGACGGCACGGGTGGCTGGATAACCCCACCTGAGCCGCGGGCTCTCTCGGCCGGGCACGCGGGATTTAGGCTGCGCGCACGGTGGGCGCTCCCTGCGGGCGACTAGCATTCGGGGCGCGGCCTCGCGAGACCGCCGCCCACGAGCGCGCGCGGGTGAGCGGCGGCCGAGGCGTCCTTCGAGCGCTCTCAACGGCCGCCGGCTCAGTCCACTCTCGGAGCCCAGAAGCCACACCATGCTCCGCCTGAGGCTGCTGCTGCTCGCTGGGCTCGGTGGCTTGCTGGCGTCAGGACCGGGTAAGGCAGCGGAGACCCTGTTACACGGGGTCTGGCAGACGAAGGTTTTTCTTTTCCTTCTTGCAAGGAGAACTTGCTTCGGCCAAATGGCGGCCCAACTCGATTGAATCCCCGCGGTGGCCTGGAAAGCCGGCCTTTTGGGGGCGCTCTGTAGGGATAGAGAAGAGACTCCCTAGAAGGGAAAATAACTTTAATGAGCTCAAGGAGAAGTCTCTCTCTTTTTGAATCTAGGGTGGGGGTAGCCTTTCTTGTAGGTCTTTCATGCACTTCACAAAACTGCCCCAACGTTTCCTGCACTCAGAAGCACCCCAGAATCTTCCTGAACTCCACTCAAAACCCAAACGAAAACGAAAACAAAAGCCGTACTCTCCTCACATACCATTTGTTCCAACATAACTTGTCTGGCATACCTATGGGAATAATTTGCCCTGCAGTCAAAAAAAAAAAAAAAAAAAAGATTCAGCGTCTGTTACGCTGAGTGACAAAGGTACATTATGGCAGGATACAAAGAACAGTATAAAGAAGCCTCAAAATTTTAAAATATATTAGGGCTGGTTTAGATGCAAACAAGCATTTTAGATATGTTCTTATTTTTCTCCCCTTTTTATACACTGTTCTGAATCTTGCCATCCTGTGTCAGTGTCAGTACATGGAGTATCTTTTCTCCCCATCTGCACAGTACTCCCTTGTTTGGAGGTGCCACGGTTTATTCAGCCAGTTCTTTTATTAATAGACTTTTGGATTGTTACCAGTCTTTTTGCTGTTGCATGCTATATTATGACCTTGAGCTGCCATAACAAAATGCCCTAGATGGGGTGGCTTAAACAACAGAAATTTATTTTCTCACAGTTCTGAAGATAGGAAGTCTGAGCCCAGGATGCCGTCGGGTTGGGGATCTGGTGAGGTCTTTCTTCCTGGCTAATAGACCATGGCTTTCTTGCTATGTACTCAGATGGCCTCTTCGTGTGGGGAGAGAGAGCAAACCCTTCTTATAAGGACACTGGATCCCATCCTGAGAGATCCACCTTCATGGCCACCCTTAGCCCTAATTACCTTCCAAAGGTCCCATTTCTAAATAGCATCACACTGGGGTTAGGACTTCATGAAATTCTGGGGGGACACAAACCTTCACCATAACACACCATAACACACTCAGTATTTTAATGCAGTGGTTTGCAAACTTTTTGGAATTTTTCTTTACACATTAACAATTATAGAAATTCTCAAAGAGCTTTTGCTTACGTTTTGTTTATATCTGTTAATATTTGTCATTTTGGAAATTAATATAGAAATTTAAGAATTTTTATTCATTTAAAAATGACAGCAACATATCTATTATACGTAACATAAGTTACACATTTAAAAAATAACTATTTTCTGAAACGAATTTAGAACACTGGCACGATTTTAGATTTTTGTAAATCTCTTTAATGTCTGGCTTAATAGATGATAGCTAGATTCTCATATCTATTTCTGCATTGAATCTGTTGCTGTTTTATTTGAAGTATATGAAGAAAATCCAGCTTATATTGTTGGAAAAGGGAGGAATATTTTAATAACCTTTTCAGATAATTACCAGTATTCTTTGGATACTACATCAATACTTGATAAATGGTAAAAGTTAGTTGCAATATGCAATAAAAACATATCAATGAACTTTTCAAAATATGTTCTATTAAGAATTCATGGAATCGGGCACCTGGGTGGCTCAGTTGGTTAAGCGACTGCCTTCGGCTCAGGTCATGATCCTGGAGTCCCTGGATCGAGTCCCGCATCGGGCTCCCTGCTCGGCAGGGAGTCTGCTTCTCCCTCTGACCCTAACCCCTCTCATGTGCTCTCTCTCAGATAAATAAATAAAATCTTAAAAAAAAAAAAAAAATTCATGGGATCTTGAACGTTGGATTTTTTACTCATGAGTTTTTTTTTTTAATGCATCACCTTTGTAATTTTTAATTTTTTTAAAAGATTTTATTTATTTATTTGACAGAGAGATACATAGCAAGAGAGGGAACACAAGCAGGGGGAGTGGGAGAGGGAGAAGCAGGCTTCCCGCAGAGCAGGGAGCCCGACGCAGGGCTCGGTCCCAGGACCCTGGGATCATGACCTGAGCCAAAGGCAGATGCCCAACGACTGAGCCACCCAGGTGTCCTTAATTTTTAATTTTAAATTATAGTAAAATGCACATAACATAAAATTTATCATCTTAACAATTTTTTAAAAAATGAATAAGCTTTATTTTTTTAGAGTGTTTTAGGTTCATAGCAAAATTAAGAGGAAGGTACAGAGATTCCCCATACACACCATCCTCACACATGCACCCCCTCTGCTATTGACATCCCACACATTTGTTACATTTGGTACTTTGTTAAAATCGATGATCCTACAGTGACACATTATTATCACCCAGAGTCCATAGTTTACCTAGGATTCACTCTGCCTGTTGTACATTCTTTGGATTTGACAAACGTATCGTGACATGTATCCACTATTGTGGTATATAGAGTAGTTTCAGTGTCTTAAAAATCCTCTGTGCTCAGCCTATTCATCCTTCCCTCTCCCCTAACTCCCAACAACACCGACTTTTTTCTGTCTCTGTAGTTTTGCTTTTTCTAGAATGTCATGTAGTTGGAATCATTCAGTATGTAGCCTATTCAGACTGGCTTTTTTCACTTAGAAATATACATTTAAGGTTCTTCCATGTCTTTTCATGGCTTATTTATCTTAATTCTTTTTAGCAATGAGTATTATTTCATTATCTAGATGTACCAGTTTATCCATTCACCTACTGAAGGATATCCTGGTTGCTTGCAAGTTTTGGCAGTTATGGATAAAGCTGTTAGAAACATCTGTGTGCAGGTTTTTTGTTTGGACAAAAGCTTTCAACTCCTTTGTGTAAATACCAAGGGGTGGGATTGTTGAATTATATGGTAAGAGTATGTTTAGTTTTGTAAGAAACTGCCAAGCTATCTTCCACAGTGGTTATATCATTTTTGATATAATTCACCAACAGTGAAGGAGAGTTCCTGTTGCCTCCCATCCTTGCCAGCTTTAGGTGTAGTCAGTGTTACGGATTTTGGTTATTTTAATGGGTATGTAATGGTATCTCATTTTAATTTGCAGTTATCTAGTGACATATGATATAAAGCATCTTTTCATCTTCTTAATATGCCATCTCTCTCTCTCTCTTTATTTTTTTTGATGAGGTGTCTGTTCAGGTGTTTTGCCCATTTTTAAATTGGGTTCTTCATTTTCTTATTGTTGAGTTTTAAGAGTTCTGTGTATATTTTGGATGAACAATCTTTTATCAGATATGCCTTTTGCAAATAGTTTCTCCCAGTCTGTGGTCTGTGACTTGTCTTCTTAGTCTCTTGACATTGTCTTTTGCAGAGCAGAAGTTTTTCATTTTAATGAGGTACAGCTTATCATTTGTTTCTTCATGCATTATGGGTGTTTTATCTAAAAAATTATTGCCATACCTAATCATAATTTGCATTTTACATTTAGGTCTGTGATCCATTGGGGGTTGATTTTTGTGAAGTGTGTAAAGTCTGTGTCAGATTTTTTTTTTTTTGCATGTGGAAATTCACTTGTCCCAACACTGTTTGTTGGAAAGGTTATCTGCTCTTTTGTATTGCCTTTGCTCTCTTATCAAAGATCAGTTGACTGTATTTATGTAGGGTTTTTTTCTGGACTGTTTATTCTGTTTGACTGATCTATTTGTCTATTCTTTCACTGGTACCACACTTTTTTGATTACTGTAGCTTTATAACAAGTCATTTAGTCAGATAGTGGCAGTCTCAACTTTATTCTTCTCCTTCAGTATTGAATTTGCTATTCTGGGTCTTTTGCCTCTTTGTATAAACTTTAGAATAAATGAGTTAATGGGATTTTGATTAAGATTGTATTGAATCTATAGAGCCAAGTTGAGAAGAACTGGCATTTTGACAGTATTGAGTTGTACTCTCCATGAAGATGCACTAATCTAAGTATTTCATTTTTTTGGATGCTCATATAAATGACATTGTGTTTTAAGTTTCAAATTCTACTTGTTCCTTGCTGATGTGTAGGAAAGTGATTGACTTTTATTTATTAGCCTGTTTTCCTGCAAACTTGCTATCTTAACCATTTTTAAGTGTATAGGTCAGTAGTGTTAAGTACATCCACATTATTGTGTAACCTATCTCGAGAGCCTATTTATCTTGCAAAATGGAAGTACTATACCAATTATACAACAGCTTATAAATTGTGATAAAATATACATAACATAAAATTTACCATTTGAACTATTTTTTTCCCTGATTTTTACAGTTTATTGCTTTTTAAGTAGAAACTAATTAAGGAAAATATATTGTTTCCCCTTTATTTTTGTAGATTTTTTCTAGCTCTACCAGTGAGTTTTATACTTTCAGATGTTTCGTGTTACTAATTAGTATCCTTTTGTTTCAGCACAAAGAGCTCTCTTTAACAGTTCTTATAAGACCGGTCTAGTAATGAGGAACTCCTTTAGCTTTTGTTTGTCTAGTCTGCTGTTGAACCCCTCTCCTGAAATTTTCAGTTAATTTATTGTATTTTTCAGCTCTGTGATTTCTGTTTGGTACTCATTTTAACCATTTTTAAGTGTAAGGTTTAATGGCATCGAGTACATTCACATTGTTGTGCAGCCATCACCACCATCCATCTCCAGAATTTTTTTCATCTTCCCAAGCTGAAACTCAGTACCCATTAAACACTAACTCCTCATTCCCCTCTCCCCTCAGCTTATGGAAACCACCGTTCTACTTTATGTCTCTGTGGATATTAGGTACCTCATATAACTGGAATTGTGGAGTATCTTCTTGTGACTGGTTTATTTCACTTAGCGTGACTCCCTCAATATTCATCTATGTTGTAGCATGTGTCAGAATTTTCTCCTTTTTAAGGCTGAGTAATATTCTGTTGTGTGGAATATAAATGGATAAATATATATTTCATTTTGTTTTTCTATTCATCTATAGATGGAT